TTTTTTAATTTTGACCTAGCAGAAGGAGAAAATCCCCCGCTAGCTGTCAAAGCGACGGCTAGTCCATTCATAACATGTTGCATGTTACACCCTAAATATGGGTGTCACATATTATGAAAGGTCTTATCCTTGATACACAAATGAAATGATGCTAAAAGCTGTTTGTGTTATCATGCTTTTTAACCCAACATTAAAGTGAATTTCGATTTTAACTGTTCCTGGGCTTATGACCCTAAGAACACCATCCCTACAGTCAAGCACAGAGGTCAAAACATTATGCTTTCGGGCTGTTTCTCTGCTAATAGGTACAGGGCGACTTTGCAGCATTGAGGGGCCAATGGACAGGACCTTGTATTGTAAAATCGTGGATGAGAACCTTCTTCCTTCAGCCAGAACACTGAAGATGGGTCATGGATGGGTCTTCCAGCATGACAATGACCCGAAACATACTTTCAGGGCAACAAAGGAGTGGCTCAAAAAGAAGCACATGGAGGTCATGGAGGGGCCTAGTCAGTCTCCAGACCTTAATCCTATAGAAAATTTATAGAGGGAGCTGAAACTTCGAGTTGCCAAGCGACAGCCAAGAAACCTTAAGAATTTAGAGAAGATCTGTAAAGAAGAGTGGACCAAAATCCCTCCTGAGATGTGTGCAAACCTGATAACTAACTACAAGAAACGTCTTACCTCTGTGCTTGCCAACAAGGGTTTCTCCACCAAATACTAACTCATGTTTTGCTTTGGGATCAAATAATTTTACTCACTGAACTGCAACTCAATTTATAACATTTGTATCGTGTTTTTTTTCTGAATTTTTGGTTGATATTCTGTCTATATCATTTAAAATACACCAATTATAGACCCTTAATTTGTTAAGTGGGCAAACTTACAAAATCTTCAGGGGATCAAATAAGTATTTTCCCCACTGTATATACAAAAGGAGAACATGGATAAACAGGATAAGAAAGGAGATGCAAGGAGATGGATCAAGCGGAAGGCCAGAAATGGGATCATGGGGAGCAGATATGAAGTAGTAGGGTACAGGATGTAGGTATTGGAATGGAATCATGACAAGAATCAGGATCAAGGTCTAAAGAAGCAAAATAAATAACCATCTACAATGCACACAAGCAAAACAGAGTCATTGAAGGAAGTTAGGGAAAGAATTACATACCTTCCCAGCAGTCAGCCTCAGTTGAGACTTAATAATGGGACTGGCTAGATACTGGAAGACACCTGCTTGTGGCCCCTGGAACTACACCCTTCTGTTCTGTTAACCACAGTGCCACCAGCACGTGATCCAGGTCTTGACAGTGTAAGAAAAACAGCACCTCTCCTCTCAGAGCCCCAGGAGTGTAGCAATAGCTGTACTCCCGAAGCTTCATAAAACTGTCAGTTGTAAACAAATGAGATAAGTCCATGAGGTGGCATGCACCCTGTTGGACTTAACTCATAGCAAGTCAGCACAGTGACTGAATTCCTTTGTCTTTAAAGTGTGATACACTTTAGTTGTATTTTCTCATGTGCTGTCTCTAACTGAGACACTGCTTTATCATACTCCACTTCCTGCTGGTCTAAGAATTCTTGAGTGTTTCTTCTTCCAGGGATTCCACTTCTTCATCTCTAACAGCTGGCATGCCAGAGAAGTCTCTAATTGGTACCTAGTTTTGTAGTGCTGCACCCCTGGGAATATTAATTACCCTCTTCAGCTTTAAATACCATCTGTACACCAATAAAACTCTATTATACATTCCTGAATGTAAACATTCACACTGTCTGATAAATAAATCCACAACCAGTCTCCCTAACATCTCCTAATGACCAGGACATTTATATGGATTGATGTTCAGTTGTGGTCACAAATTTACAAACTGTATTTTTTTAATATATATTGTAAAAAAAAAATCTTTATTTTAGAATAAAAATGTAAGGGGAGTCCATGAGGTTGCTTGCAAAGCCTAGCTCGGTCTGTCTATTTTTTGGTAACTGTGTGCTTGAGGTGATGTGTGCCCCAAAAGCTTGTCCTCAAAATTGTATGTTAGTGCAAATAAAAAAAGTATCATGGACAGTACTCAATTGTTCCTTGGTAACTGTGTGAAATTGACTAATAAAGGGAATGTGTATATACATGTTCTTTGTTTATAATGGTCAGGTAATTAAGTAATGATAAGGGTTTTGTTGTGGTGCTTTTGTGATAATCAATTATAAATAAATTGGGCGGTGTCCAACTCCAGTATATAATTATAATGCAGTGCCTCCAGCCATTATGGCAAATACGTTAATTAATAATATTCAATAATATAGACACCTTACCAAATTTATCACCACACTGTAAATTTTCTTGAGTTCTTTTACCAATGTGATTTCTTTCCCAAATATACAAATATCACCAATTTGATTAAAAAATAAATAATGTATTTATGTACAAAAATATTTCTATATGTTTTAATACAAACTAATATACTGGTAATGGGTATTTCCTACACACAATCAAAGAATAACCCACAATAAATTGCAATTAGGTCAATCACAATATATATATATATATATTATAGCAGTGTAAATAAACAAAACCTTGATTTTCTCAGTGGTTAGCAAATCTCAGTTGTTAGTATTCAGTATATAATTTCCAATTACCACGGCCTAAGAGAATTAGGAAAATATTCCTGATATAATACACACTGACACACTTCCATATGTCTTAAGAATAATACTAGTATAGCAGACCAGTTTAGAGAAAAAAATAAACTCTAGTCTACAATCAATTCAATACGGTAATTTAGCAACCAATCTCTCCATACACCATCCAATCTCGAGGGTTCAATCAGATCAATACAATTACATAATAATTCAGTAAACATATATAAATTTTGAATGAATAAAAAGTTGTGATACTTGGCCACAATATCTCAACACTCCCAATATAGCGTTCTCTGAGTTCTTTGGGTGGAACAGCAGATTGGTAAATATGTTGTTTCTCATCAGCAGTCTCTCCAATCAGCAGTTTTCTTCTTGTCAGGAAACAAGCAAGAGTTGTCTTAGCAGGCAAACATTATTTTCGGATCAAAAATAGGGTCTTTTAAGCAGGCAAAAAGTTTTTCAATGAAGTATCTACAGTCAGCTTTTCAAGTATGTTTTTCAGGGTTCTTTCCAAGTTTTTCTTTAAGGGTTTCTTCAAGTGTTTTCTTTTAAGCGTTTTTCAGTTTTTTAAGTTTTTCAAAAGTCTCCAGGTATAGCCTTTTTTAAGGGTCTTTTTCAAGGGTTTTTTTTAAGGGTTTTCTTTCTTTCACTTTTCCTGCATATATATATATACTGTGAAGATCCATTGTCTGCTGGATCCACCCATGGTACATGACGATTGGACTGCCAAGAATGCCGTCTATTCTAGAGGTTTTTTACCTGTCCACTAGAGGCAGTAATTTTCCATGAATAGGAATGTTATTACTTGGTTATGAGTAATCTCTCAGTTTATGTATGATTTTAGTGATAAAATATATGTCTTGCTGAAATATTAAAGTGGCTTTCATAGATATGCCTTTTGATAATGTCCATATGTTTGAGTTGGTTTTGTGGCTCATCTTTATTAGATGAGAATTATATTTTTATGGTTTGTCCAGTGGTCTGAAAATGGTAGATATTAAGAGAATATTCCCATAATTTGTTTTAGCATTTTATCAGATGATGCTCATTCGTTACTTCAGTCATCATATCATCTGATATCTCATATCTCTCCACGCTCTGATTTAGGTACATATTGTTGGTAATCAATTGTTTTAATATCTCTGAAACAGTCTACCCAAATCACAATCCATGCCATATGTCATTACAACTTGCTGATATTTGGTTAATTATTTTTATGATTTTGTAGTTGAAAATGTATTAAATTGATTCCTGTGGTCATAATACATATAGTATGAATGTCAGCTGAGTATTTTGTTGAGGTTAAGACCTTGGTTCCCGTAAAGTGAATTGCATAGATTCACAGTCTCTGTAAACACCTGAGGAGTGTATGAGTAGCTTGGGCTATTGTTTGTGTGCTCATTGGTAAACATTCAGTTGATCTCCCAGCAAAGATGTGACTCTGTGAATAATAGGTGTCACTATTCCCGACATAGGCTAATCTCCTTTTCGTGACTGTACAATTGTAACATCCATTTAAGGCTTTACTTAGTAAATAGTAATTTGGGAAGAGCTATCTTCAAGGTCCCTTATTGTCTTTACTTGTTATATTTCTCAAAATTCAAGTACCTAGATGCTGTGTTTTTTCACACTGAACATTTATGACTTTTGGTCAATGCCAGGTTGTTGTTGGGTCAGGGCTGTGTGACTTCATTGTATTCCTAAATAGGTCATCTATATTCAGTCAACGATTGTGAATGTCTTTTGTTTGAAATGGTATCTTGTAAAGAGCAGACACTTCTGTTTCTCGAGAAATTGCTGATATTCCATAAATGTCTTATTAAGTGGTATTTCTTTGGTAATTTATGTATCAAAATCATAACATTGTACTCACTATAAAAATCCTATTCTCTGTGTTCATTAACCACTTGCCTACAGGGCACTTATACCCCCTTCCTGCCCAGGCCAATTTTCAGCTTTCAATGCTGTCACACTTTGAATGGCAATTGCGCGGTCATGCCACACTGTACCCATTTCTCTTTTTTTTAGACAAATATAGCTTTCTTTGGGTGGTATTTAATCACTACTGGGTTTTTTTTTTTTTGCTAATCAAACCAAAAACTGAAAATTAAAAAAAAAAAAAAAAATTTTTTTCTTAGTTTATGTTATAACATTTTGTAAATAAGTAATTATTCGTTTACTGTGTGCACTAATGAGGCTGCAGTGATGGGCACTGATAGGCTGCACTGATAGGCGGCACTGATGAGGAGGCACTGGTAGTTGGCACTGATGGGCATTGACAGGCATCACTGATGGGCACTGAAAAGCAGTACTCATATATGGCACTGATAGGTGGCACTGATAGGCAGCACTGACTGGCATTGATAGGCGGCACTGACTGGCACTGTTAGGTGGTGGCAATGACTGGAACTGTTAAGTGTCACTGATGCGCACTGATAGGCAGCACTGACTGGCACTGATAGGTGGCACTGATTGGCAGCATTCATAGGCGGCACTGATAGGTGGCACTGACTGGCACTGATAGGTGGCACTGAAAGGCAGCTCAGATGGGCACTGATATGTTGCATTGATGTGCACTCGTAGGCACTGATATGTGGCATTGATGTGCACTGATGGGCACTGACAGGTGGCATTGATGGGCACTGACAGGTGGCATTGATGAGGCTACATTGATCATCAGTGCCCTGATGATCAGTGTAGATGTCCCCTCTGAGGAATACCGATTACCGGCTCTCTCTCTCCTCACGAGCTGTCAGCGTGACAGCTCGTGAGGAGAGGAATGCGGATAACTGGCATTTCCCTATTTACATGCGATCAGCTGTAATTGGATACAGTTGATCACATGACAGAGCTGAAGTCATTGGCTTTTTCCTCTGATCAGTGATCCCAGGGACACAGCACACCACCGATCACCACGCTACAAGCCCCCGGGGGTGCACACTCGCGGTTAGAGTGGGAGGACGTCATATGACGTCCTCCCAGAACGAACCGCCCTGCTCCAGTCATTTCGTTATATGGTGGGTGGGAGGTGGTTAAAGGACAAAGCTACATCTTAGGCTCTTGACCAATGGGTTATAGTGCTACCTGCAGGAGTAGGGTGCTAAAGACAAACAAAAGAGCTGCCTGGAGGCAGCCCCTACAGTTTGTCAATGTTTCCTAAGCTGGATCTTTGATTCCTCCCTCCTGCTCCTGCAAGAAGCTTCCGGAATATAGAGCAGGGGGAGTCAAATGACCAGTATGAATATTTATTTTGTCCCAGCCAATCTCTGGAAGGAGGAGTCCAGAAGGTGGCTGGGAAGGTGATAAATATTTGGAAGGCCTTTCCAGAGTGTCAATATTATTGCGCAGACCAGGTAATTATAACATCTTTTTTATTTTAATTAAAAAAAAATAGACTTTACAATCACTTTATTGATGTGTGTATCTCTGCTGAAACAGCATCTGTTACATATCTTACTTATACATAGATAGCAGTCTTATGGTGCAGAACATCCACCAATGAGAAGTGTAGTTCTTGCTGCAGTACACTCAGTACATTGATCATCATGGATCTCTTGCATGGCACCTCCTCCATTCATAAAAACCTTGAATTATTTTCCATGAAAGCAAGATGTTCTGTGATTGGAGGAGGAGAGATTGTGATGTTCATCTAAACCTCATACAATCACGTTACCAGATGCTGCAGTATGTCCAGGAGACACACTTCAATGGAGCAGTAAGGAGTTCTAATACAGTCCAAGCTAAAGTAAGCTGGGTACACTTTTTGATACTTATAGTGTTTCATAAAATACCGTATTTACTCGAATGTAATGCGCACCTTTTCTGGCCAAAGAGAGGCTCTAAACTCGGTGTGCGCATTACATTCAAGGGCGCCTTACATTCGGAGGCAAACCTTCAACACACCTGGCAGTGCCGCCACCACATCCAGCAATTCTGCACTGGCTGCAGGGAGTACCTCCCACACACCCGGTGGTAAGGTTCCTCCAGCACCCCATCCCTCATCTCCTCCAGCGGCCTCCTCCCTCATCTCCTCCAGCACCCCCCCTAATTTCCTTCAGTGGCCCCCTCCCTCAAATCCTCCAGCGGCCTCCCCCTCATCTCCTCCAGTGGCCCCTCTCTTATCTTGTCCAGCGCCCCCTCCTCATCTCCTCCAGCAGCCCCCTCCCTCATCTCCTCCAGCGCCCCCTCCCTCATCACATCCAGCGCCCCCCCTCATCTCCTCCAGGGCCCCCCCTCATCTCCTCCAGCACCCCCCCTAATTTCCTTCAGTGGCCCCCTCCCTCATCTCCTCCAGTGGCCCCCTCTCTTATCTTGTCCAGCGCCCCCTCCTCATCTCCTCCAGCAGCCCCCTCCCTCATCTCCTCCAGCATTCCCCTCCCTTATCTCCTCCAGCGCCCCCCCCTCATCTCCTCCAGCGCCCCCCCATCTCCTCCGTGGCCCCCCCTCATCTCCTCCAATGCCCCCCCTCATCTCCTCCAGCGGTCCCCTCCCTCATCTCCTCCAGCGGTCCCCTCCTTCATCTCCTCCAGTGGCACCCTCCCTCATCTCCTCCAGCACCGCCCCTCATGTCCTCCAGCACCCCCCTCCCTCATGTCCTCCAGCACCCCCCCTCATGTCCTCCAGCACCCCCCCTCATCTCCTCAAGCGTCCCTCTCCCTCATGTCCTCCAGTGGCCCCCCATCTCCTCCAGTGGTCCCCTCCCTCATCTCCTCCAGTGACCCCCTCCCTCATCTCCTCCAGTGCCCCCCCTCATCTTCTCCAGCGTCCCACTCCCTCATGTCCTCCATAGGCCCCCCCCCCATGTTCTCCAGCGCCCCCCCCCCCCCTCATCTCCTCCAGCGGCCCCCTCCCTCATGTCCTCCAGTGGTCCCCTCCCTCATCTCCTCCAGTGACCCCCTCCCTCTCATCCTCCAGTGGCCCCCTCCCTCATCTCTCCTCTAGTGGCCCCCTCCCTCATGTCCTCCAGTGCCCCCCCCCCCCCCCGCTCATCTCCTCCATCTCTGTGCCATAGTTTTAAGCTGTCATTCCAAGCTATACTTAAACTTAAAAAGTTTTGCAAAAACTTGTTTTAGATCAGTATTTGGTTTAATATTTATATATAATTAAGTTTACTATATTGTAATAAAAATGTAACATAACATATGGTGAATTTATTGTTGCTGTCTAAAGTACTGTAATTACCAAAAGAAAAAAAATCCTAACATAAGCCCATTGTCACATCTTATTACCGTATTTTCACATATTACCAGCAATAAAATGAAAGTCCATAACCTGAACCCATTGTCATATGCAGGTGCGCACTACAATCACCATCAAACGTTTTTTTCAATTTCAAGCCTTTCAAAATAGAGGTGCACATTAGATTCGATGCACATTAGACTCGAGTAAATACAGTAATAACCCCACATTATGGTTTAGAACTGCTGTTTAACCAGTAAGGCTGTAATAAACCCCAAACCAAAACTGTAATATATTGCAGATTATCAATCATTAAATGTTTTGGCTGCATTAGTTTTATTTTTTAGCCTATTTTCCCCTCCGTTTTCACCTGATGATCCATCCAGTAACACACCTCCTGTATTCAAGTGCCTCCACTCTGGATGAAGGAGCAACAGAGACATCTTTGGACAGCAGCATCGTTAATCTGGGGGTTGGGGAGTGTTAGATGTATTAGCAGATTTAGATGCACTAACAGTTAAAGCCAAACCTTAATTAACACATATTAAAGCAGTAATAAACCCAAATGTAAACATTTATATATATATATATATATATATAAAATATATATTATATTGCAGTTTACCAATTCTTTGTTCTATTTTCATCTGGTGATTCAGCCAGCAACTCTGATGTTTTTCAGAAGTACAAGCTCTCCAGAAGAATGTATCCATTTACATGGATGAGGCAATCCATTTACCACTGACAGGGGTGATTGAAACGATCAGCTTTTATTAATTCAGATAAAACCTTTAGTCCAAAATGGAAAAAAAAACTGTTTACTGTAACTGATTATAAAGTATTAGCTAGAGTTGGCTTCAATTTGTTATTATATTCAGAAATTCTAATACATTTAACACTTCCCTCCCCCCAGACTGACAATGCTGCTGTCTGCTGTGTCCTGTGCTGTTTCCTCCAAAGTGGCGTCTCACTAAAACAGGAGGTGTGTTACTGCCAGATCACCAGGGGAAATCAGAGGGGAAAGAGCCAAAGAACAGAAAACCATTGCAGCCACCATATCTAAGGATTGGTAAGCTGTGATATAATTAATTTTTGGTTTTGAGTTTAATACCTCTTAAGCAGTTACAGTAAACCGTTTATTTCCTTTTGTGATGAAGGTTTTACATAAATAAAAGCTGATCATTGCAAGCACTCATGTAAATGGTTTGTCTTATTCCTCAAACTGTTGCATCTGCAGGACAGCTTGTTCTGTTAAAAGATAACAGACTTATTGGCCAGATCACCAGGTGAAAATAAAGAAAAGAAAGCCTAAAAAAGAAAACTAATGCAGTCAGCATATCTAAGAATTGGTAATCGTCAGTATAATAAATGTTTGCTTTTGGGTTTAATAGCTTTTTAATTCTGCTTTCTGGTGGCCCTTAAAGGATAAGTTCACCTTTCTTAACATGTTACATCTTACACTGATATTCAGGGTGTAACATGTAATATATAATGAATAGACCAGTCCCCGCTCCCCCTCGCTCCCTTGCTTTGACAGCTAATGGGGGATCTTCTCCTCCCGCTAGCTGTCAAACTTTTTTAAAAATGCAGCCACGCGGCTGAATTACTCATTCACAGTCCTCTGGGAATGAGAAAACTACAAGTCCGACAGCCTTAGCGGCTGTTGGCTTGTAGTTGTCAACGAACTACCACGGTGCTATGGAGTGCCATGGTAGTTCATTGATTCTTCTTGTCAGTATATCTGCTTGCCCAGTACATACTGTATGAGCAAGCAGATATGCTGACAGGCAGGGGCAGACTGACAACTCATGGGGCCCCCGGGCAAGAGGGGATCATGAGGCCCCTGTGTCCTTGCCCAAACTCAAAAAAGCCTATGAAAAAGGTACCAGGGGCATCTCATGGGGCCCCCTACTGACCTCGGGCCCTCGGGCAGTGCCTGAGTTTCCAAATGGTCAGTCCGCCCCTGCTGACAGGTCTGCAGGAGACCTACATGGCACCAGCGATCTGCTGATCACTGGTACAATGGTTTACAGGCTCCTGCAACAAAAAATAATAAATGCACATTTTTTTTACCTGCAAAAAAAGTGCATTTATTATTTTTTAAGGTGAACTTATCCTTTAAATTGGGCTTTAATGTGGGAGTTGTTACGTGGTCGACAAGAGGTTAAAGCAGATTATCAATCATTAAATGTTTTGGCTGCATTAGTTTTATTTTTTAGCCTATTTTCCCCTCCGTTTTCACCTGATGATCCATCCAGTAACACACCTCCTGTATTCAAGTGCCTCCACTCTGGATGAAGGAGCAACAGAGACATCTTTGGACAGCAGCATCGTTAATCTGGGGGTTGGGGAGTGTTAGATGTATTAGCAGATTTAGATGCACTAACAGTTAAAGCCAAACCTTAATTAACACATATTAAAGCAGTAATAAACCCAAATGTAAACATTTATATATATATATATATATATATATAAAAATATATATTATATTGCAGTTTACCAATTCTTTGTTCTATTTTCATCTGGTGATTCAGCCAGCAACTCTGATGTTTTTCAGAAGTACAAGCTCTCCAGAAGAATGTATCCATTTACATGGATGAGGCAATCCATTTACCACTGACAGGGGTGATTGAAACGATCAGCTTTTATTAATTCAGATAAAACCTTTAGTCCAAAATGGAAAAAAACTGTTTACTGTAACTGATTATAAAGTATTAGCTAGAGTTGGCTTCAATTTGTTATTATATTCAGAAATTCTAATACATTTAACACTTCCCTCCCCCCAGACTGACAATGCTGCTGTCTGCTGTGTCCTGTGCTGTTTCCTCCAAAGTGGCGTCTCACTAAAACAGGAGGTGTGTTACTGCCAGATCACCAGGGGAAATCAGAGGGGAAAGAGCCAAAGAACAGAAAACCATTGCAGCCACCATATCTAAGGATTGGTAAGCTGTGATATAATTAATTTTTGGTTTTGAGTTTAATACCTCTTAAGCAGTTACAGTAAACCGTTTATTTCCTTTTGTGATGAAGGTTTTACATAAATAAAAGCTGATCATTGCAAGCACTCATGTAAATGGTTTGTCTTATTCCTCAAACTGTTGCATCTGCAGGACAGCTTGTTCTGTTAAAAGATAACAGACTTATTGGCCAGATCACCAGGTGAAAATAAAGAAAAGAAAGCCTAAAAAAAGAAAACTAATGCAGTCAGCATATCTAAGAATTGGTAATCGTCAGTATAAAAAAATGTTTGCTTTTGGGTTTAATAGCTTTTTAATTCTGCTTTCTGGTGGCCCTTAAAGGATAAGTTCACCTTTCTTAACATGTTACATCTTACACTGATATTCAGGGTGTAACATGTAATATATAATGAATAGACCAGTCCCCGCTCCCCCTCGCTCCCTTGCTTTGACAGCTAATGGGGGATCTTCTCCTCCCGCTAGCTGTCAAACTTTTTTAAAAATGCAGCCACGCGGCTGAATTACTCATTCACAGTCCTCTGGGAATGAGAAAACTACAAGTCCGACAGCCTTAGCGGCTGTTGGCTTGTAGTTGTCAACGAACTACCACGGTGCTATGGAGTGCCATGGTAGTTCATTGATTCTTCTTGTCAGTATATCTGCTTGCCCAGTACATACTGTATGAGCAAGCAGATATGCTGACAGGCAGGGGCAGACTGACAACTCATGGGGCCCCCGGGCAAGAGGGGATCATGAGGCCCCTGTGTCCTTGCCCAAACTCAAAAAGCCTATGAAAAAGGTACCAGGGGCATCTCATGGGGCCCCCTACTGACCTCGGGCCCTCGGGCAGTGCCTGAGTTTCCAAATGGTCAGTCCGCCCCTGCTGACAGGTCTGCAGGAGACCTACATGGCACCAGCGATCTGCTGATCACTGGTACAATGGTTTACAGGCTCCTGCAACAAAAAATAATAAATGCACATTTTTTTTACCTGCAAAAAAAGTGCATTTATTATTTTTTAAGGTGAACTTATCCTTTAAATTGGGCTTTAATGTGGGAGTTGTTACGTGGTCGACAAGAGGTTAAAGCAGATTATCAATCATTAAATGTTTTGGCTGCATTAGTTTTATTTTTTAGCCTATTTTCCCCTCCGTTTTCACCTGATGATCCATCCAGTAACACACCTCCTGTATTCAAGTGCCTCCACTCTGGATGAAGGAGCAACAGAGACATCTTTGGACAGCAGCATCGTTAATCTGGGGGTTGGGGAGTGTTAGATGTATTAGCAGATTTAGATGCACTAACAGTTAAAGCCAAACCTTAATTAACACATATTAAAGCAGTAATAAACCCAAATGTAAACATTTATATATATATATATATATATATAAAAATATATATTATATTGCAGTTTACCAATTCTTTGTTCTATTTTCATCTGGTGATTCAGCCAGCAACTCTGATGTTTTTCAGAAGTACAAGCTCTCCAGAAGAATGTATCCATTTACATGGATGAGGCAATCCATTTACCACTGACAGGGGTGATTGAAACGATCAGCTTTTATTAATTCAGATAAAACCTTTAGTCCAAAATGGAAAAAAAACTGTTTACTGTAACTGATTATAAAGTATTAGCTAGAGTTGGCTTCAATTTGTTATTATATTCAGAAATTCTAATACATTTAACACTTCCCTCCCCCCAGACTGACAATGCTGCTGTCTGCTGTGTCCTGTGCTGTTTCCTCCAAAGTGGCGTCTCACTAAAACAGGAGGTGTGTTACTGCCAGATCACCAGGGGAAATCAGAGGGGAAAGAGCCAAAGAACAGAAAACCATTGCAGCCACCATATCTAAGGATTGGTAAGCTGTGATATAATTAATTTTTGGTTTTGAGTTTAATACCTCTTAAGCAGTTACAGTAAACCGTTTATTTCCTTTTGTGATGAAGGTTTTACATAAATAAAAGCTGATCATTGCAAGCACTCATGTAAATGGTTTGTCTTATTCCTCAAACTGTTGCATCTGCAGGACAGCTTGTTCTGTTAAAAGATAACAGACTTATTGGCCAGATCACCAGGTGAAAATAAAGAAAAGAAAGCCTAAAAAAGAAAACTAATGCAGTCAGCATATCTAAGAATTGGTAATCGTCAGTATAATAAATGTTTGCTTTTGGGTTTAATAGCTTTTTAATTCTGCTTTCTGGTGGCCCTTAAAGGATAAGTTCACCTTTCTTAACATGTTACATCTTACACTGATATTCAGGGTGTAACATGTAATATATAATGAATAGACCAGTCCCCGCTCCCCTCGCTCCCTTGCTTTGACAGCTAATGGGGGATCTTCTCCTCCCGCTAGCTGTCAAACTTTTTTAAAAATGCAGCCACGCGGCTGAATTACTCATTCACAGTCCTCTGGGAATGAGAAAAAACTACAAGTCCGACAGCCTTAGCGGCTGTTGGCTTGTAGTTGTCAACGAACTACCACGGTGCTATGGAGTGCCATGGTAGTTCATTGATTCTTCTTGTCAGTATATCTGCTTGCCCAGTACATACTGTATGAGCAAGCAGATATGCTGACAGGCAGGGGCAGACTGACAACTCATGGGGCCCCCGGGCAAGAGGGGATCATGAGGCCCCTGTGTCCTTGCCCAAACTCAAAAAAGCCTATGAAAAAGGTACCAGGGGCATCTCATGGGGCCCCCTACTGACCTCGGGCCCTCGGGCAGTGCCTGAGTTTCCAAATGGTCAGTCCGCCCCTGCTGACAGGTCTGCAGGACTACATGGCACCAGCGATCTGCTGATCACTGGTACAATGGTTTACAGGCTCCTGCAACAAAAAATAATAAATGCACATTTTTTTTACCTGCAAAAAAAAGTGCATTTATTATTTTTTTTAAGGTGAACTTATCCTTTAAATTGGGCTTTAATGTGGGAGTTGTTACGTGGTCGACAAGAGGTTAAAAGAATAAGTAAATAAGTGTTGCTGTGTTAAAAGTAAGTAGAAGAAAAGAAAAGGCTTCTTGGTGAAGTTTATTTGATCTTTTGTTTTCTGCTGTCACAAAACGGCACAGAGAGAAAGCTGTATGAGTGTGTTTTATGAGTCTGTGCTTGATACTCTGATACAGAGGGACGTCTGTACTGTCATGATTCATCCGCTATGAGGACAAGCCTGTAGGTTACTCATTGTTTTCTAGTAAATAGTCCGTGGTGTACAAACATCCATGGATCCTCCAGCAGACTTGCTGCGGTTGGCAGTAGACTAGGCTGTCAAGAGTCAGTCTGTGTGGACGGTTTATAAATAACACAGCCTCCTGAGCTGTCAGATCTTATGGCTAGGATTAGTCATAAGGACGGTGACAGCAGGAGACACCACAGGATATCCCCCAATACATAACTCTTATTGACTGGCCCTGGGTGATGGGCAAAGCAGATCAAATCTTACCTGATTACAGAGCTTCAGTGACAACATCCCTTCAGACCCAATAGTCTGCAGAAAGTCATCACAAGGTCAGATAGGATGGATTCAATGTGTTAGGAATCACTCATCTTCAGAGTCCTGTCAGCAGCTTCTCCTAATTGTGAGATCCATGGTACATATTAGGTGCACATCCTCTAGCATTTGAAAAATACTGTTATAACGCACATTCTCTATAGCAGTGCTCTCCAAACTGTGGCCCAGGGGCCGGATATGGCCCTTTGCTTGCTTTTATCTGACCCTTTGGGCATTTTTTCTCCCACTGATGCATGACACTATTCTTTCCACTGACACTAACAAAGGGGCATAACTACGGTTACTGACATCAATAATGGGGCACTATATCTCGCATTGACACCAACAATGAGGCACTATTCCTCCTCCTACTGCCAAAGATGCATTGTTTACTTCCACTGATGGCAGTACAATTTCTACTCCCAATGGCCACAGTCCACCCCCCCCCCCCCCCCCCGCCCCCCCCCCCAGAAGTCTGAAGGACAGTAAACTGGCCCTTTGCTTAGAAAGTTCTGAGACCCCTGACCAATACTGTCATAAGACTGACACTGCAGTAGCAGATCACTTCTCCTAAAATGTTGGGGATTATACACTTACAGGACTTAAAGCACCTTCTAGTTACATGTACAGTGGGGCAAAAAAGTATTTAGTCAGCCACCAATTGTGCAAGTTCTCCCACTTAAAAAGATGAGAGAGGCCTGTAATTGGCATCATAGGTAGACCTCAACTATGAGAGACAAAATGAGAAAACAAATCCAGACAATCACATTGGCTGATTTGGAAAGAATTTATTTGCAAATTATGGTGGAAAATAAGTATTTGGTCACCTACAAACAAGCAAGATTTCTGGCTCACATTACAGGCCTCTCTGTACCTTCTTCTTTAAGAGGCTCCTCTGTCCTGCACTCATTACCTGTATCAATGTCACCTGTTTGAACTTGTTATCAGTATAAAAGACACCTGTGCACAACCTCAAACAGTCACACTCCAAACTCCACTATGGTGAAGACCAAAGAGCTGTCGAAGGACACCAGAAACAAAATTGTAGACCTGCACTAGGCTGGGAAGACTGAATCTGCAATAGGCAAGCAGCTTGGTGTGAACAAATCAACTGTGGGAGCAATAATTAGAAAATGGAAGACATACAAGACCACTGATAATCTCCCTCGATCTGGGGCTCCACGCAAGATCTCACCCCGTGGGGTCAAAATGATCACAAGAACGGTGAGCAAAAATCCCAGGACCACACGGGGGGGACCTAGTGAATGACCTGCAGAGAGCTGGGACCAACGTAACAAAGGCTACCATCAGTAACACACTACGCCGCCAGGGACTCAGATCCTGCAGTGCCAGACGTGTCCCCCTGCTTAAGCCAGTACATGTCCGGGTCCGTCTGAAGTTTGCTAGAGAGCATTTGGATGATCCAGAAGAGGATTGGGAGAATGTCATATGGTCAGATGAAACCAAAATAGAACTGTTTGGTAGAAACACAACTCGTCGTGTTTGGAGGAGAGAGAATGCTGAGTTGCATCCAAAGAACACCATACCTACTGTGAAGCATGGGGGTGGCAACATCATGCTTTGGGGCTGTTTCTCCGCAAAGGGACCAGGACGACTGATCCATGTACAGGACAGAATTAATGGGGCCATGTATCGTGAGATTTTGAGTGCAAACCTCCTTCCATCAGAAAGGACATTGAAGATGAAACGTGGCTGGGTCTTCCAACATGACAATGATCCCAAACATACCACCCGGGCAACGAAGGAGTGGCTTCGTAAGAAGCATTTCAAGGTCCTGGTGTGGCCTAGCCAGTCTCCAGATCTCAACCCTATAGAAAACCTTTGGAGGGAGGTAAAAGTCCGTGTTGCCCAGCGACAGCCCCAAAACATCACTGCTCTAGAGGAGATCTGCATGGAGGAATGGGCCAACATACCAGCAACAGTGTGTGCCAACCTTGTGAAGACTTACAGGAAACGTTTGACCTCTGTCATTGCCAACAAAGGATATATAACAAAGTATTGACATGAACTTTTCATATTGACCAAATACTTATTTTCCACCATAATTTGCAAATAAATTCTTTCCAAATCAGCCAATGTGATTGTCTGGATTTGTTTTCTCATTTTGTCTCTTACAGTTGAGGTCTACCTATGATGCCAATTACAGGCCTCTCTCATCTTTTTAAGTGGGAGAACTTGCACAATTGGTGGCTGACTAAATACTTTTTTGCCCCACTGTATATGGTTTTGGTGGGGCAGGTTAGGTGTTGCTCTCCTTCATTTTTCCCCAATTAACTCTTAGGGCCGTGGATAAGGGGGTACCACCAGTCCTCCTGCATGGGGCCCAGGCCAGCAGGGGGGCCCAGGAAGCTAAGTGAATTGGATGTGGGCAGGGAGGGTGATCAGCACAGTGGCGTAGCAATTACTGGACTCTCTCTGCAGCAGCTGAAAGTTGGCTTCTTCTCTCTTTCCCATTTTCAGCTACTGCAGAGAGAGCCATAAAGGGGATCAGTTCAAGTAATTGCCACCCTGCCGCACCCATCACCCTCCATGTGCACCAAATGTTTCCTGCTTCTGCCCAGGCCCCCATGTGTGCCCCCACCCCTGCAGTGCTGCCAGGTTCCATCTTCTCCTTCCCTCTGGCAGCTGCAAGCACACAATAAGATTCTACAGGATAGAGTGGGTGAAGGGTCTGGGAAATATGTTACCAGTCGCTTCCTTTCCTAAATGAACACAATCAGTGCTTAGAACTGATCACCCACTGTATTCAGTCATAATAGAAGCAAAGTTAACTGTGTGTTTTTTGGGGTGGGGGACCTGACAGGTTGGCTGTATGGGGCCCCGTGGTTTCTAACAGCAGCCCTGACCCCAAGTCTGGGTAACATAAGAGGGCTGCCCTGGTATGTGGGTTCTTCTAGGCTATGCTAGGCACCTGAAACAAGATCACCTTATTACACATACAGTATGGGACAAGGCTGAGGCCACTGTGGGGGAATACTCCAACTTAAGGTGGGCCTCCATTCTTAGAGATGAACGTACACCTGCACCATAACGGTCCTCCAGTTAACTCTCAGGTCCCTGTGCACATGTCCATCCTACCACTATAGTTTGCAATTAGGAGGGACACGCTGAGGTTTGTCCACAACCACCTGTCCATTGTTTTCCACTATCGTTCCCAGCAGCAGAATTGGCCCTGTTGTGTACTTAACCCAAGCTCCACATGTGCACTTGACTTGACTTTTGAGCTTCCGTACCTCTGTACAGGATGGTAATCTTTGTGGTGCAAATCCGCTCCTGTTGCTATAGGAAACAACATGTCCCTGGCAGATAGAGGCTGTGCCACCTATAACAAGTACATGCTACTGACAGGCTGAATTAACCGACTATAGACTTCCATTGCCCATGGCAACCACATGTAGCACTGCACTACAATGACTCTTCTAGTGCTAACTCTTCATACCCCAACATGTAGTGACCCATAGCTGTAGACTAAATGTAGGATGGTGCCATTTACTTACATTGCACTCCTTTAACCCTTTAGCTGACAGAGCTCTTGTTAAAAAATCATTTTAGACCTGAAGATTACACAAAACCCCCCAAAATGATGTTTTCTGAAAGCAGACACCCTAGAGCAGGGGTGTCAAGCTGTTGCGAAACTACAAGTCCCATCATGCCTCTACCTTTGGGAGTCATGCTTGTAACTGTCAATCTTGCAATGCCTCATGGGACTTGTAGTTTGGCAACACATGTAGGGCCACCAGTTTGACACCTGTGGCCTAGAGAATAAAATATTGGCAGTTCCAATTTTTTATGTCATACAATATTACCGCAAAGGTCTAAGAAATGCAACAGAAAAGAAAAAGCACACTAAAGTGAATTTTAGGGTAAAAAAAACCCAATAAATTAACCACATTTTTGGTGAAATATAAAAGTCTGTCTGTCAGTTTTATACACAATCCTGGTGGATACAGCCGCCAGATTGTGTGTAAAACCCCCCTGGTACCTGGCAGTGAAAGGGTTAAAAAAAAAACTTCAGACTGGAGAGAAGACAAAGTTTCACTGTTTTACTTTTATCAGGAGTGCCCAACCTTTTGAAGAGCGAGGGCCACTTAAGCGACTTTTTAACCAATAGCGGGCCACAATTAGTGGAGCAGGCAGATGACAGGTTCGTGTCTACTCTGCATATGCAGAGCGGACACGGACAAAGACCGCTCTACTCTATGGGCCCTTCAATCTGATCCGCCCAGTCAAAAGGGACGGATCACCTTCTG